ATGAGGTGAGATGGTCAAATGGGGATGAAGTAATTCTTTAACATAACATCAGTATGCAGAAGTACAGTACACGGAGATGAAAATTTACAACATAGTGTGGGCATCAGCAATTTCTAACACAGCTGTAAAACAGAAACACAGTCTATCTATATCCTATGATTAGCAAGATATTAATCAGCAGTAACAGTTGCAGGAAAAGCTGGTTGCAAACAATCAATAGAAACAGGATGTGTAGCTAGACAACCGGTTAAACCAAAAAATTCTCAGAAGGGAGTATACCTAAACCCTAAAGAGACCTAGAAGAGCCGTGGCAAGATAAGTGCGTTTATAACCCTATCTTATCCATATGAACAGGTGCCCCTCATGTATCCATTAATAGTCTCTCCACAAGAGTTGCATTCCATTCCCAGAGCTATGACCATCTGCTTTTCTGGGATAGGAATCTTGGCGATGTGAAACCTCCCTGACTATACGTCCATTTATAGGCTCTCTGTAGGGGGAAGTCCATCAAGCGCTGTTGGCTCATTCTGGCAGCCCATCCTGGCATTGTCTTTACACAATCCTGCATGCAATTATGTATTTACAATAATCAGGAGCATTTCATCTTTCATTCCGTAGCAATGGTTTTGGGGGTCTCCCTACAGGACTACAGGTGTGCGCCACCACACCCGGATAATTTTTGTATTTTTAGTAGAGACAGGGTTTCACCATATTGACGAGGCTGGTCTCGACCTCTTGACCTTGTGATCCGCCTGCCTTTTCCTCCCGAAGTGCTGGGATTACAGATGTGAGCCACTGCGCCCGGCCCACAAACCACACATTTCCTTGAGTTTTTGAATTCCAGCCCAAGAGAAACAATTTGATATTTGAAGGATGGCTGCACACAAATATTTGAACGCAAATAAAAATGTTTGTAGATTGCACCACATGAGGGAGACTACCAGTATGACTATCAGGATGAAAATATCAAGAGTTTGGAATATGCACCTTAGGCAAGATGCAAACCAACTACAATGGAATAGATCAAAGAAGAAGCCAGAAGAGTCTAGTCATTTTAACCAGGCAGCACATTTGTTGATTTTTACAACTGAGTCTCTATAATACCCGATGTATTTATCCATGTGCAAGAAGAAGTGTCAGAAACTGCACAGGCTCCCACTTGTTTAGCTGGTAGAGAGCAATTCTATTTTCTAGCATTGCGTGTCTATGTTAAATTAAAACAGGGAGTGAGAAGAATAGGCAAGTATAGAAGTAGAAGTCTAAAAAGAAACTCCATATATTTGAGGAAAAAGATGAGTTAAAGACGCAGCGAAGGGCAGTTTTGGGTGGACTGAAGGATCTCTTGTTATGTAAAAATGTGTTGGCCAGGTGTGGTGGCTCACGCCTGTAATCCCCGCACTTTGGGAAGCCAAGGCGTGTGGATCATCTGAGGTCGGGAATTCGAGACCAGCCAGACCAACATGTAGAAACCCCGTCTCTACTAAAAATACACAATTAACCTGGTGTCATGGCGCATGCCTATAATCCCAGCTACTAGAGAGGCTGAAGCAGGAGAATCACTTGAACCCAGATGGCGGAGGTTGAGGTGAGCCAAGATTGTGCCATTGCACTCCAGTGTGGGCAACAAGAGAGGAACTCTATCTTTTAAAAAAAAGTGTGTTTGACATGATATATCTGACACTGTTAACTTACTCTTAGAAGCTACTTCTTGTGAAATCCTAAGTACAACATTATTCTGGAAAGCAAAGGAGACAGGCATAAGCAAGGAAAAATTAAGAGAGGTAAGAGTCTCATCATGATTGATAGTCTTGTTCTGACACCTTGAGGAAAGCTGTCCACAGCGTAAAATCATCAACTTGCTGTCGTGGTTTGCAGTTTAAGTGTCTCTAAGTTACGGTGTTGAACATTTGGTGAGCTCTGAACGGCCCACACCTCCGACACAAGTGTTTTCCCATTAAATTTACATTGAGTTGTCCACCTCTAGCTTATATGGCTTCAGGAACAGAGCTGTTCCTGTTCTTAATGATTTCATTGGAGAAAAATGAATTGGAAGAACTAAAAGAATTCAGGGTCCAGTCCAGGCTACCAATGGATTATAAATACTCAAAGATAATGAACAGTGGTTCAATATGGTAACAGGTGTACTACAGTTTTTCTTTTCAACATAATGTGTCTCTATGTAGGGGTCTCTATTTTTACCAAGGATAATCCCAGTAGGATGAATTTGTTTGCAAAATAGGTTGAGTCTCACTGAACTTGCCTAGATTTTTTACCTAAGTGCAGCAAGAGTAGCAAGGGACCATAGAGGCTCTTCTTAAACTTTGCTTTGCTAGAAGTTTTATAAGACTCTCAGATTAAACTTTCAAAAACCTCTTGAGACTAGGAAGCCAAACCAAGGCCAACTTCAGACTTTGCCTGCATTCCCTATGAGTTTATTCTATGTATATTCTCAAATAGAACATCCCAGTCAAAGCCTTAGTAACATAACCAATGTTTTCAAATGTGTCCTGTTATAAAGAGAGTAGATTCTTACTGAACTTGTGCAAATAACTTTATTACCATAAGCATGTCAATACTCATGAATAGTTTCCCAATTCTGGGGCACTCAGATTCAGAACAAAAGCAAATGTTTCCATTTTTGTTTACAAAAGTATACTTTACCAAATTGCTGTAAAGTATAAATAGCTTAAAAGAGAAAGTTCACAAATCTGGACATTAAAACATTCAAAGAATCAGCACATTCTCAAATAAAATATTATGAAAACATTATCGTTTTGATTATTTAGTCCAATGAAACTGAAGTTTTTTTTCTTCTTTGTCATGAATTTCATGAACGTATCAGATTGTTCATTAAATTTTGAAAGTTCTCAGAGAGTCCAGTGGTATGACCTTGAAGTTATCAAAACTTGTATTCAAGAGTCGTTGTCAGAATCTTTTCCATATATGTCCTCAAAGAAAAAGCAATTTTGGACTGTAGCTGATTATAAATACTTCAAGGAAGAATCAAAGCAACTGTCTGGGAATGACAAAGATTTAAAATGACTATGGTTAAAAATCTAATGAGGTTTTTATTAGGTTGATTATGGTAAAGACACAGCTCACATAGAAACCTACTTACTTCTGTGGCATATGACACTATGACTGATAACATATTCGATTTCCAGAAATTTCACATAGTGTTTAGAATACTAATTTTTTTTAATTTTTTCATTTTTATTTTCATTTTTTTGAGATGGAGTCTCGCCCTGTCGCCCAGGCTGGCGTGCAGTTTCACGATGTCTGCTCACTGCAAGCTCCGACTCCCAGGTTCACGCCATTTCCTGCCTCAGCCTCCGAAGTAGCTGGGACTACAAGAGCCTGCCATTACGCCCGGCTAAATTTGTTTTTGTGTATTTAGTACAGCCGGGGTTTCACCATGTTAGCCAGGATGGTCTCGATCTCCTGACCTCATGATCTGCCATCTCGGCCTCCCAAAGTGCTGGGATTACAGGCGTGAGCCACCTCGCCCAGCCTAGAATATTCATATTATTAACGTTCCCATAAATACTATTTAGAGAAGGTTTAGCATGACTTATCATACATTTGAAAATGCTTTCTATATATTTTAACATATCAAATAAGGTGGCTTTTCCATTCAGCTTGTTTCCCAACTGGATCACTGAGTTCTTGGTGTAGCCCATTAATAATTAGGGCCAAAAATACAGTCTTATGTACGTTGAAAAAGTCCTTAGGTAATTCCTTTTTAAGTATTTTTCATTACTTTTCATTACTTCCTTTAGAAGTAATTTCAGGTACTTCTACCTGAAAATCGTTGATTTAGTTTTAAGTTCTACCTATTACAACAAGAGTTCTCCATCCTCTTTACATGTTGGTAGGGTCAGGGAAGAATTAAAAATTACCAGTGCCTGGGTTTCTCTCCAGACTTTTAAACTGGAACTAATGCGTGGGGCTTGAGCATCCACTTTTAAAAATGTTTTCCAGTGATTCCAATGTGTAACTATATTTCCGATCAGATTTCTCTGACTTCTTGTGGCCTTCACTTTTTTTCTGTTTTGGTATCATGATTATTTTCAGGTCTCATTTCCCGTCTTAGGCTTTATGTCCCCTGGGGTAGGGACGTTGCCTTCTTCATTTCTGTATCTTTTTTGAACACATGAATTGGTCATCAGGAAAGGTCTCAATTACACATACGTTGTGTTCTGAGTCTCAGGTTCACAGGCTAACCCTAAAGTCTTTGTTCTCCACGAGGTCAGAGATTGCTTGTGATGAAGGGTGTGGTTAAGTCTGTAGTGCAGATGGTGGAGGGGAGTTCACCCTGTTTTTAGGCATAGCATTGGAATTAAGGATTTTATGTCTTTGTGGGTGAAGGGGCAGGGATGTGTAGGAAGACAGTTCTAATTAGGATGGAGAAATTATACTAGCAAGTAGAGGTAAAGGAAGTGAGAAGGATCAGTAAATAGAAGAAATGTGAACTTACCAAATAGGCTAGAGTAGATGCCTGGAGATTCCTGATTAAGTGAATTAACTAGATTTTAGAAAGGTAATGAGGCAGTCCTATGCAAGGAAGGTTTCAAAGTCTGGAGACAAGAAGTCAAGCAGCACTTTGAGAAGTGGTTGAGCTTTATGGGAATGGAGAGAATTACACTATTGAGAGATGTGAAAAATAATGAAGAGGGTTTCACAATGTGAAATTGTGTTTCTCATTTAAATCTGAGAAACAAATGAGCAGAGGCTGGAGATAATTATATCTAAAAGACAGTGGGGTACAGGGAGCATAAAGGCCAGGGAGAAAGGGAACTGCAAGAATTAGTGCTGAGAAGCAGGAGTTTGGTGGAGGAAGAAGAAGATCCAGTTCCAGATACAGGCAAATAAGTCTCTTCCCTCTCCCAACCATGGCAGTCAGCACTGCAGGAAACGGGACAAGAGAAAAGGCCATCATACCTGTCAGTCTTCCCGAAATACAGAAATGACATCATGGCTGCTATATTGGACTAACGCCATTATGGACGTCCTATTGTTGAACGAGCTGTCATAGAAAGAAAAGAAAAGAAGGAATGGAGGTGATGTTATTTTACCGGGGGGGGGAGCCTCAGGTACAAGCATGTAACATGAGGTACTCTATAACTGTTTCTTCAAGGAATACATTATTTCTGTTGGAAAGTTGATGGGAGATGATTATATTCTTGCAGTGTTTTTCCCCTCTCACCATGTTTCTAGGTTGGTGATCAGTCCTCTGTCAATTCTCTACTGCACTCAGATATTTCAGAAAATTTTCAGATATGAGAAAGGCTGATTGCTATTTTCTATGTCATTAGAACTTTAGATCTTTTCACATTTTCATGTTTGCATCTTTTTCTCAGTGTCTCTGTGGTGGCAGCTATGAATGAGACCCTGTCAGGTCTCCATGGCAGGGACCTGATTGACAGAAGGCCCAGGTCAGTGCATTTCAAATACACCTCCTCCTTTGCACAGAAAGCTTCCTTCCCACAGGCTCTCAGCAAGGACATGAAAGCAAGCCTAGTTCTCTCAGGCTCTCTTTAACTTTAATGGGTGACTGGTTGGAGGATTTCCCATCAGCCTTCCAAAAACTCTCTTAGAACTGCATTGATACCTAAAACTTCTTTCTCTTTCTTTTACACAGGAGTCAGCTTTGCATAGGTATCTGTGAGTTCTCCCATACTACCTTCATGCCTGCCCCACTTTCCCTCACAGGTATCTTCCATGATAAATTACCTCATATGTCCAATCCCAAAATGGATACATCTCAGTTGGTAAAAAGTAACATACCAGGCTTGATTCTTTGCACTTAGCTTTTCTCCTTTCTCTCCCACAAGCAGTCAGTAACCATGTCCTAGTGTTTTATGTGGTACCTCTTTTTCTATATGTATATGGAAATAGGTACTGTTGAGGGGCATGTCCTATGTGCCAGGTCCTGTGCTAAATACTTTACCTGTACCTCATTTAATTCACACAGTAACCCTGTCAGGTAGACATTATTTCCATTTTGCCAATGAAAAGACACAAGCTTCGAGTAGTGTAAAATCTCTCCTGTTGTCATATGGCTAGTAATAGGTGGATCTGAGATTTTATTCTAGAACTATTTGACCTCAAGGCTAATGATGTTGGTAGTAATATACCAGCTGACATTGGTTCATGTGTGTGTGGCATCTTGTTTCATTGACTGCATGAAACCGTTAAAAGAATGGTATGAAGCAAGCTCTCTCATACTCAGGATATGAAAGAAGAACAAACTAAACCCAAGCACAGTGATTGAAGGACACAATACGGATTAGAGTGGATAAAAATAAAATGGTGAATGGAAAAAGAATAGAGGAAATTAATGAAACCAAAGTTGATTTTTCAAAGTAAAATCAACAAAATTAACGACCATTAACTAGACTGACTAAGAAAAAAAGAGAGAAGATTAAAATTGCTAAAATCAGAAATGAAAATGGAGTCCGAGCATGGTGGGTCATCTTTTAATCCTAGCACTTTGGAAGGTCACAAAGGGAGGATTTCTTGAGGCACGGTGTTTTGACCAGCATAGGTAACCTGGGGAGACCCCCCTCTACAAAATATTTAAAAACCAATTAGCTGGGCATGGAGGCATGCATCTGTAGTCCTAGTATCTTGGGAGGGTGAAGAAAGAGAATTGCTTGAGCCCAGGAGGTTGAGGCTGCAGTAAGCCATAATCACGCCACTGTATTTCAGCCAGGGCTGGCCTACAACGTGAGAGCCTTTCTCTCTCTCTTAAAAAAAAAAAAAGAAAAAGAAAAAAGAAAATGAATTGAACTGATTACTACCATTTCTAATAAAATGATTATGAAAGTACTGTAAAAAATTGTACACCAATAAATTGGATAACCTAGATGAAATAGACAAATTCTTAGAAATACACAAATATATGAATAGAATTATAATCAGTAATAAGATTGAATCAATAAAAGCATTTGATGAAATTCAGTATTTTTTCATAATAAAAACATTCTAACTAAGAATGGAAGGAAACCACCTCAACATAAAGACAATATGTGAGAAACCCAATGCTAACATCATACTCAACGGAGAAAGACTGAAAGCTTTCCCTGTATGAACAGGAACAAGACAAAGATGCTGCTTTTGACACTTCTATTCAATGTAGTATTGAAAGGTCTAGTCAGAAACATTAGGCAAGAATTTTTAAAAAGACATTCAAATTGGAAGAAAGGAGTAAAATTATTTCTGTTCGCAGATAACTTGAACTTATATGTAGAAAATCCTAAAGATGGAACAAACCTATTAGAATTAATAAATGAATTCAGTAACGTTGCACAATACAAAATCAACATTCAAACATCAGTTGTATTTCGACACAAAAACCATGAACAATCTGAAGGGAAATTAAGAAAAAAAATTTAATTTGTATTAATATCAAAAATAATAAAATAGGAATAAGTTTAACCAAAGAGGTGAAATATTTATACCTGAAATCCATAAAATATTGCTTAATGTTGATATCAATAAAATGAGAGACATTTTATTTTCATGAATTAGAAGACTCACTATTGTCAGTAGGACAATGCCACCCAAAATAAGCTGCAGATTCAATACAATTCCTATCAGAATTTCGGTGACATTTTTGCAGTAAAAGAAAAATCCGTCCTAAAATTTATATTGAATCTTATGACTCTAAGAGACAAACAACATTGAAGAGGAAGAATGAGGCTGGAGGACTCACACTTCCTGATGTCAGCATTTACTGCAAAGCCCCAGTAACCAATACAGTGTGGTACTGGCATAAAGGAGGACTTAGAAATTAAGATGGAACAGAGAGCCCAGAAAGAAATACTTGCATATATGGCCAAATGATTTTCATCGAGTGTGCCAAGATCGTTCAATGGGGAAAGGACAGTGTTCTCACCGAATGATATTGGAAAAGCTGGATATCCCAGGGCAAGAATGAGTGGAACCTTTACCTAACATCATATACAAAAATTAACCCACAGTAGATCAAAGATCTAAATATAAGAGCAAAATCTACGCAACTCTTAGAAGAAAACAGGAGAAAAACTTCATGATATTGGATTTCACAATGATTTCTTGGTTGTAACAACAAAAGCATAGGCAACAAATAAAATGGATATATTGGACTTCATAGAAATCAAAACCTTTTATATATTGAAGAACATTATCAAGAAAGTAAAAAGGCAACCCATGAAATGAGAAAAATATTTGCAAATTATGTGTGATAAGAAATTAATTTCCAGAATACATGAAAAACTACAAGTCAACAACAGCAAACATCCAAAAACCCAATTAAAAAATGAACAAAGGATTAAAATAGAGTTTTCTCCTAGGAATATATGCAAATATCCAATAAGCCCATGCAGAGTTCCTTAGAGTCATGAATACGTAGAGATATGCAAATTAAAACCACAATGTGACATCACCTCACACACTTTAGGATGGCTTTGATAAACAACAATGACAGCAACATAAAACAACAAGTGTTTTCAAATAGATGGAAAAATTGGAGCTCTAGTGCATTACTGATGGCAATGGGAAATGTTATAGCCACTGTAAAAAGTGGTGTAGCTGTTTCTCAAAAAATTAAACAATAAATTACCATTCGATCCAGCAATTCCACTTCTGGACATACTGCCTATAGAATGGAAGGAAATTTGAACAAATATTTGCACATTGATGTTCAGAGAAGCATTACTCACAATAGCCAAAAAAAGGAAACAACAGAAAAGTCCATTAAAAGGTAAATGGGTAGGCCAATGAGGTATATCTATACATCAAAATGTTATTCAACCTTAACAAAGAATAAAATTCCAATACATCGTGCAAAGTGGATGAACCTTGAAGACATTATGCTAACTGAAATTAGGCAGACACGAAAGGATAATTATTCTATAATTCCATTTATAAAAGATAGAATAGCCAGTTACATAGAGACAGAAAGTAGAATGGTATGTGCTAAGGGATAGGGGGAGAGGAAGTGAGAGTTACTGTTTATAGGGTACAGAGGTTTAATATGGTAAAAGGAAAAAGTTCTGGAAATGGATAGTGTGATGGTTACACAACACTAAATTGCACATTTAGAAATAGTTAATGATAAGTCTTATATTAGATACATATAAAGTGTCCTGGTAGTCTTACACTCTATAAATACACACTTTTTTCATTGCCCCTTTCCTGCCATGCAGAGCCCCAGAGGTGAATCTCCCTATTTCTCCAAGTGTGCATCACTCACTGTCCTCTGTGCTGTGTCCCACATGCTGTGCCCACAGCCTCATACAGCCGGTGACTTCAGAGCCAGGACACAGCTCAAGAGTCTTCCCCGAGGCTCCCTCTCTTCTTATTTCCCTGCAGTCTATCCTTCACTTCAACTGGCAGTTCGATTTAGCCAAATTCAGGACAGGCCACCAGCGCCCTTTCTCCACACATGCTGGTCTCACCCCAGGTGGAGTCAGGCAGGGCCAGTCACCAGAGAAGCCCGGAGCAGAGAAGGGAGCAGTCTGAGCTGCTCCTCCCTTATCCAAGGGGCTTCCTCCTCTCATTTGGGGGAAAAATGTGAGCTTGTTTCAAAACCTCAGATGTTCCTTGTAGCTCATGGAGTAGGTAAAAGAAAACAAAGACGTAGCGGACAGGGATATGTTGGTGACAGCAAGAAACAACTTGATCTTGAGGACTCTCCTTCTTGTCCCTGTGAAGCCTCTTCCACCACACAGGGCTCAAGGATGACAAAGCCCCCTCCCTACCTTTCCCAGGTTGGACACAAGGTCAACCATGAGAAAACAGAAAAACAAGGAGAAGAGAGTCTGTAGAGACAAATTGGGAGGGTTCAGGAGGAGAATTTAGGATTTGCTTCTGCCCATGGGACACAGGCTGGGAATAAAAATGTTTTCCTGACTTCTCTGAAAGCCAAATAGACTCCACCTGAAACCCTATTGACAATGATGCAGGGATCCACTTACTCACGACTGTGATCCTCTTGAATGTGGAACGTTCGCTGTCAGTGGCTGAGTTACGAGCCGAGCAACCATAGAGCCCACTATGCTTTGTAGTAATTTGGGGAATAGAGAGCTTTTGTCCTGATTGCAGAAACTTCCCATTAATCGTCCAAGAATACTCTGCCGGTGGGTTAGAGTTCGCGAAGCAGGACAATTCGAGGGTATTTCCTGAACGGTAATAGTTAAATGGAGAGAAAATCCTGGGGACTTGTGGACCATCTGGAGTAAAGAGAATAAAGCCACAGGTGATGTCATCCGAGGGAAGGGGATGCTCCTGGTCTCTTAAAGGGACACAGTGTCCCTCTGAGTCAAGACACATCCTCAAGGCCCAGCCAAACCCCTTCTGTGTTCACTGAAACGAGGCCTGAAGTATTCATCTGTTCCTGCCATCACCGGTTGTAGACCCCAAGTTTCCCATGACAAGAGCAGCCCCTCCCCTTCTATTCTTGGTTAAAGCTGTGCCTACCCAGGTTTCCCCAGGGCAGGGAGTGAAGGCCAGCTCAGGTGTCCAGACATAAAAGTGTCTGTATTTGGACTTGAGAGAGACTGAGATGCCGGGCCTCTGGTCATTTGAATTTTAGCTGGTGGCTTGGCCCACAGAGGAACCAAATATACAAAGGACATTCAGGGTGAGTGGGTCACTGCAGATGCTACCAACTCGGTCCCATATTTCACATTCATAGGGTCCTGTGTCATTTCTTGTGACATTGGGTAGAATGAGGATCCTGGTTTTACCGGGTTGCTTTACCCTGGGACTGACCGGGAGGCTCTGACCATTTACCCTCCACAAGTAGGTGTAGCCCTGAGTCTTAGGTTCACAAGTTAAGGCTACAACATTCTTATTCTCCATGGGGTTGAAGTTGTTGCTGGTGATGTAAGGTTTGCGCAGCTCCGCTGTGTGGATAACAGAGAGAAGTTTGTCCTCTGTGGCACCTTTGATTCCTCCACAGGCATCCTTCAATCGGAGGTGGCATCTCCCACCTCTCAGCCCACCCGAGTCCTTGAAAGTCAATAACTGATGTGTGTGTCACAAGACAGATGCATGATGATCTAAGGGCTCAAAGACTGTGAGGCCACCTGCTCTGTCTTAGGGAAGCACAGACTTTCTCAAATGTGAATTGATCAGCAGTGTTGGGTCATGGACAGACATGTGAGTGGGAGTCACAGCCCCCGCACCCCTCCCAGTCCCTCTCTAATCAACTGACTGGCTGGTTCACCTTGGGTTCCTTACCTGGAATGTGCAACTGCTGGGCCCCTTCCAAATTCCATCCTACTTTGCCCCCCTAGATGTGATTTCTCTGCAGCTTCCATTTCCAAGAACATTCTAGAGATGAGTAATAATGGGACTTCCCATTGTCCTCAAACCCTGAAGATACTGAGCAGCCTGGCCTGGGACTGGATGTTTCAGCAGAAATAAGACAGGGGAGAGCAGAGTCAAGCCTGGAGGTCAGTTCAGTCATCAGGCCATGGAGGCACAAAGTGGGGCAGTTTTCTGCAGGTGTTTCATGATGACTTACTTGAGCCAGTGACCTCCAAAGATAGAGCAGAGTGCAAGGAATGATGTAGAAAGAGTGAAGGGGACAGGCAAGAGCTGGTGATTTTGGAGTAGAACCATGTTCCTTGTTCTGGGTTCTTTAAGTTTCCTCTCCTTCTGCAGAGGGCAGGTGAGGACTATGTGGATCTTTCCAGAAATACATGTGGACATTTGCAAATGCAGAATTGACTGGTAGACAGGGTGGGAATGAACTTCTGGAAATCTGGTCCTCATGGACCATGTGTGTTTGATGGATATGAGACAAATTCGGGGAGAATTTTTGCAAATATTTTCTTTCATTGGACACTCTACTCTCTGATTCCATGGGTTTGACTACTCTAGGGACCTCATGTAAGTGGATTCCAGAGTGAATCTGAGAAGAGACTGCTGGTTGCCAGGAGCTGGGAGTGGGGAGAATCAGAAGTTGTTCATGTGTGTGCAGTTTCAGTTATGCCAGATGGGGAGGTTCTAGAGATCTGCTGTACAGCTCAATGCCTATAGTTCACACAGACTCAGTATTTCTTATGCATAAGACTGAGGACAAAAAGTGTTTTGGATTTCTGACATTTTTTCATTCTGAACTATTTGTCATATACTTACTGGTTTAGCATCCCAAATCTGACAGATTCAAAATCTAAAATGCTACAGTGAGCATTTCTTATCAGCATCAGATTCTTACGTCAAAGTGAGAAGTGATGAGCCAAATACATTCTTGCCCCCCCCCTTTTTTTTTCTCTCTCACCTCGTTTTCAGCTTGGTGATTAGTTTTTGGTCAATTTCATACTGGCCACGTTGCGCTTGTATATTTTTGAAGGCTTCGGGATGTGAGAGAGGCTGATTGCTATTTTCTATGTCATCAAAATTTTTCACCTTTTCATGGTTGCATCTTTTTCTCAGTGTCTCTGTTGTGGCAGTCATTAATAAGAGCCTATCAAGTCAGATTTAGGACAGATTTTTGTAATTCTGCAAAAAATGTTACTGGGATTCTGGTAGTGGTTGCCTTGAATCTGCAGCTCACTTTGGTTAGCATCACCTTCCTAACAATATTGATTCTTCCAACCTGTGAGAATGAAATGTCTTTCCATATATTGATGTCGTCTTTAGTTTCTCTCAGTAATGTTTTGGAGTGTTCAGGGTATAATCCTTTGACCTCTTTGGTTCAACTTATTCCAAAATATTTTATTCCTTTTGATGTTAATGTGAATGGAAATTCTTTTCTTAATATCCTTTCAGATTGTTCACTGTTAGTGTATAGTCTAAAGAATGATCTAGAAAGAGTGAAGGGGACAGGCAAAAGCTGTTGGTTTTGGAGCAGAAACATATTCCCTGTCCTGGGTTTTTGATTTTCCCTCTCCCTTTGCAGAGGGCAGGTGGCTCTTCCCT